GCAGTTCATCTCCATGAACATGAATCAAGGTTTGAGCATAAGGAGATTAATCAAATGAAAAAAGTTTCTGCTTTTCCAGATTATTCTTGATCTTCAATCATAATTATGTGGTAAAGTACAGAAGAGATTAGCTACCTATGCAAAAGTACTCATGTTGAAAATTGTTTATAAACCTAATCATTGTTATTTGAATAAATTAAGGGTTTGATTTTTTTATGGCTTAATTTTTATTGCAATTCTAGTTATTCTTGTATATTTTGATTCTTTTTTTTTTTTTTTTTTTGTTATTATACATTAGTATAGTTTCTTATTATTTTATATATATATTTCAACTTTATATTCTTTTTATATTATATTATATTATATTATACTTTCACTGACCTTCAGTTGGCTTTTCAACAGTACATTAGAATAACCATACTTATAATATCATATATCTTTATGCTTTAATAAGAAGGTTGTTATGAACATTACCCATATATTTATATATTTATATATATATATATATATCTATAAATTAAACACTTTGACCCTCTGGTTTTCTGGGTTCACAAGAAGGGATAATTGTTATACACTTTGGAATAAATTTACAGAGAATCAATCAAATGGGGTAAGAAAAGCTAATTGGGTAATTGAAAATGGAAAATGAAAGCATAAAAGAATTAAAATGGTTGACCGCCTTAAGAAAAAGATAAAGGTTTAGTAGTCACCACCACCTTTCAACATGAATATTTTGGGAGATAAGAATAAAAGAGCATAAAAACAAAAATTTGAAACTAAAGAAGACAAACCCAATATATTCTCTCCCCAACAAAATCATCTCAAATTTTCATTTCTATTATACTTACACACACACACACACACACACACACACATACATACATACATACATACATACATACATGCATAACATATATATATATATGTGTGTGTGTTATACAAACCTTATCATCATCATTTTTTCTTTGCACTTAATTCTTGGTCTCAAAATGGTACCCAAAAAAAAAAAAAAAGAGGGATTTTTATATTTACAAAGTGTATGTATGTATGTGTGTGTATTATAATATGTTTAGAATTTATATGTGAATTTTTACAGAAAAGATTAATTTAGAAGGTGTTGGTGGGGTATGAAGAGGATACTACCATGTTGTGTAAAAGGAAAGGGAGAGTTGTCACCCTGCAACTCTTTTTTACTTTGAATCTCATTTGCTTTTGAGAATTGTTGTATATGCATATATATATATATATATACATATATAGTTGATAGAAATTATAATAGAAGGAAGAAGAAATAATACTAGTAATAATAAGATGGGAGTGATGCAGGCAGGCGATCCAGACAAAAGAAAAAGTTGGGGGAATGTTCCCAACGGCTACTCCTTTACTTTTTGTTTCCCAAAGTTGTTGTTCTTCTTCTTCTTAATCTTAAACCCCCCCACTTTAAATATTTATATATTTGAATATATATATATATATATGTATATGCATATACTATCATGGGATTCTTCTCTATATATCACCTACCTATGGGCTATGGACCCACATATTTTTTTTCTTTTTGTTTTTCTTCCTTTATAACATAAAGCACACTCTTCCATGGTGACAATTTCCAAATCATCACTTCTTATTGGAAATCACACCAACAAATGTATATATGCAAATACATACATACATATATATATATATAGATAACCTTCATACTCCCATGTACTTACTTAACAGATTACTTGAGTTTTCTTGTTTGACATATTTTCGAGATGTCAAATGAGATTGAAAACATTAAGGTCCATGATATTTAGAATGGATATTCTTTTATTGGTATTTCTTAAGATACATTTCAACCTAGAACAAGAAGTAAATTATGTTATTGTAAGAATTAGGTGTAGAAAAGTGTATCTAGGATTTATTTTGACAATCTTAAGCATTGAATTATATATATATATATATATAAACATAATAAAAATTCATCTGAAAATGATATATGAAAACTATGTGTGTAATATAATTGGTAGTTTTACTTGCTAGATTTAAGAGCTCTTGCATATTAAATTGTACATTTCGAAAATAATTGCACTAAACTTTGGAGTAAATTTATCAATAACTTTATAAATTTGGTTTATGCAATTTTATTCAAATTATTTTTTTTTATATAAAAATGTTCTTTTTTGCTCTTGGAATGCATGGACAAATTCGAATATCTTATCAAAAATTTGCATTTACTATAAGGAATAAAACAATAATGTCGTTTAAATCATAACAATTCAAATTAATGATTCGTTGCTTTTAATTCTAGGTTCTTAAAACCATTTTTCTTCTTCGCTAACTTGTTATGGTGTCCCACTTGTGTTCAGACAGAAAGGTCCAAATTAGAGACTTGCTTAACACGGATGAGAAATCAAGGTATTCGACATGTTGAGAGAAGGCACTATATTCGGGACAATTTGGTTCCTTAGGCTCATATCCACCAAGTGGGTACCACTAGATTGGGGCATGCGTTAGAGGAGTTGTCTCTCCTTTTATACCTTAATAATTATGATACTTTCTAATCTCGATTGACTGACTACTAGATTTTTTGTACTTTCTCTTTACTGGTTACAAAAAAAGACTATTTTCTTACTCATGAACCAACCATTGGAAGCACTTATTAAGGCCATACATTCATCTTTTATTCTTGGCAACTTCTTAATGATAAGGTTGATGGGAACTTCTTTAGTTTATACACAAATATATAGTATTATCTTTTATGTGCACATCTATTGAAATCATTTTGTTTTTAAATTTGCTATTGAATGATATTTTTTTGCTTGTCTTATTTCTATATATGCTCGTCTAAGAAACTTATTATGGAATATCTTACGAGTCTCAAAATCATCTTACACTATGACAACATGCACAAATTAATCAAGGACAAGTTATGATATATTCAAACTGATATTCCTTTTTCCAAAAAGACTCTTCATCTTCATAAATATAAAAAGGCTCAAACAAAGAAGACCAAGAATAATACGAGAACAATTGACGGAATCCAAACAACCAAACATAGAGAAAGAAATAAGGGAACTTATTAGGAGATGTTATCTTTAAACATAATGAGTTTCCAAGAAAGAGAAGACCACAACCTCCCATGAAACACCTGAGGTATCTAATAGTCTTATGTAAGGAAAAGTGCAAAAGGAAAAATGAGAAAAACCCAAAAATGTTATAACCAATCAATTATATCAAAATCTCTACTAGTTACGACATTAGCTAATTGATATGGTATCTCATTTCCTCATGAGGAATATTTTGAGAGGTCTCAAGTAGGAGAATTGATTTTTTAATCCTTAAAAATATGTGGTCATATTTCTAAGGGACTTTCAAGAGTTGTTAGCCTTAGAAATTGCAACCATGTAACCAATACAATATAAAACCTAAAACAAGAGCTCAATCTCAAAAACAAATTGAAAGACTTCTTCAATACCCAAAAAAAAAAAAAAAACTAAATTTGAGTCATCAAAACCAACATTGTTCGTAATGACTCCCAAATATATTTCTTACAAAACTATTATTTTCCATCATGTGAGCCCTGTTAAAAGCAAAGCCATCAATATTAAACTTTAACATAAGTTGGTCTATGAGGAGAAAGAGTATAATTATTATTCAGCTTAGGTTTGCTTTTCCTCGAAAAGAAAGAGATGGTGACATAAGGTTATAGAGTCAAGCCAATCTTACCTCAAGGAAATAACTGATACACCCTACCATTCTTTATTTCAAAAATATCATTTGTTCCTCTCCAACTAAATTGACTAAGTAATAATGTATAACAAGTAACAATAAGCAAATTCATCACGATGGTGTTTCATACTTCCTTTGCACTGACCTGGCCAATTTGAGGGGTTATTCCCCATGATGGGTTTTTTTCACTTATGTTAGATGTGTGAAGCTTTTTAAGATACATGGTTGATGTTTTCGTAAATAATTTTAATAACTTGAAAATGTTTCTATCACACACGTGTTATTACGACGAATTAGACAAACTAGTCATTCTAACATTGGATCATAGCTAGCCTCTTTGGGGCACCTTGATGATGAAGTTAGTGATTGTAAATTGTAACTAATGTGACTTGTAATGTAATATTTGGCGGGCACTGTACAAGGCTAGGGTTTTGAGGTTAAGAGCACCCCAGTTAATCTGTTAGTATTATATTTGACTAAAATATTTTTTGTTTTATGTTTTTGTCAGTTCTATAGTATTTTTTTTTTCTTTAACTTGGATGTTAGTTGGTGTTTGGATTCATTATGGGACTATGTATTGTAAATTTGTTATTATAGCCTTTTAGTGCTAGTGATTTGCTACCATGTTTAATAAAGTTACCTACCTTTAAGAAATGGTATATACGCTTGGTTTATGGAATCAATAAATATTTTTATTTAAAATAAGTTATTCTATATCTTTATAATAGAGAATACTATTAACTTCAATAACATGGATGCAATTTCTTCTTACTAACTCATATATAGTTGCAATTTTTTTAATTAATGTTTGCTAGAGAAAGTTAACTCCTTAAGGAGCAAGACCACAACATACAAAAGCTTCTAAAAAATGATTAAATGGTGACAAATTACAAAAATAATCTTCTGATTCTTGCCACAGTAAAAATTCCATTAGGCTTTTGATTCCTTTGTAAGTCTTTCCAATCTTAATTTAGATACAATTTTTTGAAGTCAAGAAATTCAATAATGAAGATCAACTAGACAACTCCGAGTCAAATAAAAGTATTCTAGTTTCCATCTTCTATTGCTGTAGTTATCCCAAAATCTAAACATGTCGTAGTTTCAACCATCTTTTCTTGAAGCTAGAGCAATTATTAAGACTAAACATCTTGTCAAACATCAAAAAATGAATTATTACCAACCAGAAAATTGAAAATATTTTTGATAAAAACTCTTTAAGAGGATTTATCAAAAAGAATTACTACTGTATTTTTTCAAATGAAGGAAAAATTTCTGTCAAGGGAATAAGGGAATGATACATTCGATCGCCAGCAACCACCTCTAAAGAGTTTAGTTCTCACAACTAAATCTTTAAGCATATTTTAATAAAAAGGGTTTTATTATTGTCTTCTAAGATTTATCTTTGCAACATATATCCAAATGAATAAAACGAATCACCCATAATATTGCATATAGCTCGTAAAATGTGTCTCTGCAACTTTTTAATATCTAATCTTATTGAAACGAACATTTCGAAGATTTTATCTAACTCCACTTAAACGATTCTAAATGAATTTCATCTAGAAAAAAAAAAACAAAAAATCAAACATATATCTTTCAGATTGGACTATAAGTTTTTAAGAATTCAATCTGTCTTAAATC